GAACTAATCTCTTTTTGTCAATGGACGCTACAGCTTCGTGTTTGCTTTCAAAACTTAGCTTGTAGCAGACGTGCACTTTTTCAGCATGACGTCTCTGATCCACTGGTAAAAGGACACTTTGATCCTCTCCTCTTTCATCTATAACTGCTTCAGACAACAAAGTGTATGCAGGAAAGTGGTGAAGATTGCACGACTGTCTGTGTCCTATGTGTTGTGTTGTGTTATTTTTGTTATTTTGACTTCAAGATGGCGCCGCGTGAGTGGCTGACTTTCCAGCAGCTCCTATATTTTGTTGTTCTACTTCTTCCATTCATAACTTTGCTGCTGTGAATTGGGAATTTCTCCATTGCGAGACTAATAAAGGTTATCTTATCTTATCTTATCTTATCTTATCTTAGTATTAACAGTGAAATATAGTTTTGAAACATGGTACAAATATTTTCAAAATTAATTATGTTATTATGTAGGCCTATATTTAAAACACAGGTACATGAAAATTTCAATGTTCTACCTTTATAGACAAGTACTGATAGGGCACTATCTTAATATCCTGGACATCATGTGAAAACAGTGAATGTGAAAGAGAGAACGCGACACAGGATGATCGATTTTTTTTTTCCAAATTAAGTTTGACCAATAGATGTCGCTCTTGGCCTATGAACCTTTGCAAAATGTCGGCATATTTGTTGCACATCAAACAACTTTCTGTCGTGACATCCCATTTTATTTTCATAGCGTAATCAATGTGCAGCTCACAGCTTTTCCACAATAGCATTTTGGGTTGTTTTGGGCGAGCTTGTATCACGCAGTGCGTGATCAGTGTATGCCAAGCGCCGTGCCTGATGACAGCCATTTAAGACTAGTTAATATAGCCAAAAAATGTCGTCATGGACATTTCCAACCCAAATTATCTCAAACCCGACAAAAGGACAAAAAACAAAAATAAAAATTGAGGCATGGAATCTTTAACAGTTTGGGTAAGAAAATCTGTTTTACATTGAATTTGATTGTTTTTCTTTTGTGGATTCGTTTTTGTTCACATTTGACACCGTATCAACAAGTTGGCCAAATTTTCCCACTTTGAATATTTTGCTTTTATGATGTGATTTCACTCCTCAAGCAACCTTCACATACTTAACCCCGTGTAGCTCTTTACTGAATCACAATCTTTTTATTGTGTTACAGAATCTCATCCACTGCTAGTATTATCTGTAAAACCTCTATTACGTGGTCAGGTATTTTTTCTGAAATATTTTAACTTCTTTGCTTGCCAGTGAAGTGTAAAAAGGTGTAATGGGTGTGTTGCATTACCTAAATTGTTGTACAAGGATGAAAAATAGTTAAAGAATTTTTAAAGGTTTAAAAAGTAAGATTCCATTTAAATGACAAAGTTCTAATGTGGTTCATTACTTTTAACATTCTTACTTGCCATCACGTTTTAAAAAGAATTGACGCAATGTTGGATTCAGTCAGATTCAGAATCACTCCGAGTGGCCAAGTATGTTTAAACACACACGGGACCAAACATCATTACCGGTTATTGGAGCCACCACTCTCGTACTCAAGAAAAAACAACCACGATAACAAAATGTACATTAAGGTCATAACCTGTTCCAAGTAGAGAGAGTCTCAAAGCAATATATAATGTGAAGTGGTCCGGTGATACTGATCAGTCACATGATGCAGTCTTAACGCAATATAAAGTGTCCAGTACTCTGGAAATATTGATCAGCAGATGTGCAAATGGCGCAGTCATTAAACAAGATAAAGCGGACAGTGTGATACTGTCCGCTTACTATACTGATAATACTGATCAATCACTGTGCAAATGATGCAGTGCAATGAAGCTACTGCGATGAATGTCGGAATAATGGCATTAGAGCCACATGTAGAGTGTCCATGTACTGTATCACTCTGAATTATGTCCAAAATGTTTATGGCAAGTGGAAAGAAGCTGCTGAAATATCTGCTGGTTTGGGTCATTGTTCAATAACACCTACCAGGGGGAAGGACCTGGAAAAGGTGTTGACATGAGTGGTTACAAAACCTACATGGTAACTCTGATGGTAATGATGGAGGGTATGTTAGAAGTGAATTAGAAGTTTTTTCATTTGGAGTGTGCGCAACATACTTGTTGTAAAACACTGTGCTGCATTGTGGTGTTTTGTCGTAGATCCTTGAGAGGCTGAACAAGATGTGCAGCAGTGGTGTGTGGAAGAAGCAGCAGAGGTTGCTTAAGAACATGGGTGCACATAAAGTCATGCTGGACCTGCTGCAGGTCTCCTACGACCAGGTGAGACCAACATTCACATACGTGATTTCCATTGCCATGCAGATGATATCCAGGCTTCTGTTCCCTGAAATCAGAAGGAACGCTACTCCTTGTACAATGTCTGTTGAAGAAGAAAAGCGGATGAAATCTCTTCATGAATTTTATTTCAGTTTGAATGCATGGCTATTTAGGACCACTGGAATCACTTAAGGCAGGGGTGTCCAAACTCAGCTTTAGCTTCAGCTGAGACTCTAAATTGCCTGTAGGTGTGTAGGTGAGTGTAAATCAGCTGGCTATCAGGCCAGGATGTACAAAGTACTTTGCTAGTCGACGTATTACCGTAATGGCCACACAAAAGACGCACCGGATTTAAAGGTGCTCGGTGAGCTTTTAAGAAAATTGAAGACTTTTTGGTGCGCCCTATAGTGCGGAAAATACGGTAATGGATGGATGTTTTTATTCATGTTCTTATGTGTTTTTTTTTCTTTTGCTCTTGTTCCTATTTGATCCCTGACGTCTGAATCTTTTGACTCCTGCTCAGCACTATAGAAGTGCAAATCACACCACAAAAATCTGCTTGACACCAACTTAAAGTGCAACCAAGCCAAGAGCAATAAAAACAAAACAGGAACTAAAAGCCTACCCAAAGGTTGTAACAGTGCTAGTCATTCTTCTTTTCTTCCCCTTTTTGGTCTGTAGAACGACGTGAAGATGCAAGAGATCATCAGATACACACACCTGTTTCTGCAGAAGTTCTGCATGGGCAACCAGGAGAATCAGGCTTTGCTGCACAAGAACCTTAGTCTCTTCCTCAATCCAGGGGTAGGCGGCTCATTATTCAGTTTCCCACGAAGATATCGACTTAGTTTAACTTTGAAAAAAAATAAGGAGACAGCATGGTGCCACAAGGTATCCGGCCTGCTGGACTCAAGATACATATATGAAATACAGACAGAATAAAAGAAGCTCGCTAGGTGTTTAGCTGAAGCTACAGCAACACAACTTACAGAGATGAAAGTCCTCCAGATTTTCCCGGAATTCCGGATTTTCAAATTTTAATGAAAATTTCCCTGGAGAATTGAGGAAAAATTGCCTAAAATTAATCCGGATATTAGTTGACAACATTGAACGAACACGCGTTTGAATTCGTTGTTTTGCTTTCACGAGCGTAGCCATGTTGAAGCACTAACACTAGTAACAGTAAAGAGATTTTCGTCTCTTTATAAACACACTTGCTAAACCCCAGTGAAACGAATAAAATACGCCGTGGACAAGACAGTTGTTGTCGTAAAAGATATATTTGGACAAAAAGGGAAACACACAGATTGGCAGAAAAACGTGTCCATCTGACGAGTGTCGTCTCGGCTAGCTTAGCTTAGTTTAGCTGTTGTCGTGTGTGACGTCGGTTGCGTCGGCACTGATTGGTTGAAATCAAACGACACGCTTGCGTACGTGTTCGCGCTGACACACGCACAACAGAGAGCAGCAGACTATCTACTGCTGAGGCGCGCTTCGCTCGAGTGGCGTCGCCACAACAGTAATACCCTCGCCTCACATTCTCATGGCCTCGCCATATCTCGGAGATTTCGAAATTTCGGTGGGAACGGAAGCCACAAAGGGTGTACATGTGCACACAAAAGGAAGATTAATCATTGAATGTCGAGTATTTGAATAGCGTTTTGTGTCAACTAATGCATGCGTAATCGGCCAGATGTGTGTGTGTGTACATGACATGTCAGGGTTGC